GCTTATTAAATATTTATCCTTAAAATGATATAATTTTCAAAATGGTGTAAGGAATATCAATACATTTAACAAGACGGTGAAGCCTAACAAATTTCTTTGCAGGAGGGGCTTATTAGAGAGGTTGCTTATGGAGGGGTGAAGCTTAACAAATTTCTTTGGAGGGGCTTTTTAGAGAGGTCGTTTATGGAGGGGGGCATAATAATAAAATAACAAAAATAACAAAAATAATAAATCTACATATTCTGTAGATTCATAGTAATATTATTCAAATGTTCATATATACTGTTTACTGTTACCTCTCCATAGAAATTAACATGCAGAGTTAACCTTAAGTTCGAGATTTCTTTTATTTCATCAAAAGATGTTGCCAAAATATTTCCTCTGTCAACTAAAATCTAACTTGTCAATCCTTCACTGATTTCATCTGGATCGGTAATGTCAAGGGCTCTGCCAAGCACAAATTTAATATGGTAGTACCTCAGAATTTCGACCGGATCAGCTATTTGTTCTGATCTACAATATTCTACGATTTCAGAAATGAGACTTTCAACGGATTCTTCTGAGACATCTTGTACGTCAAAGTTTTGAATTTCCAATCTGCAGTTGAACTTGCCCCTGGATTGGCACTGGCACTGCTTGAACTCTCTTCTGGTCGAGGAAGGGGATCCACTTGGTAAGAACTTGGCAATCCTTCTTCACTTTCAGAACCGCTGTGAATAATTTCCGCTTCGAAACGCATATAAACGTGTGTGCGCAAATTCCGAACCAACACATCTTGGCCACAAACGTTGCACTTTTCTTTGATTTCGCAAGGAGTTTCCTCGGTCAAAGGTTCAGTGCACAGATCCTTTTGAATTGGTCTCAAATATATACGCGATTGTCCACCAATATTTGCTTTAAGGCTCTTTGCGGACCATGCACAATCAAGAGTGCTTAGATTTCTGCAATTTGCTATACAATTCATTAGCTCAAAACCGCCACATTCTTTCAGTTTTGGAAATCCCATTGTTTGGCAAGTCTCACTGTTTACTTCGGATGAAGTAATAGTTTCCAGAACAGCTTTTTCGTCATTGTCGGCTTCGAACTTTATTCTTTTAATACCATGTCCTGCTTTCTGCAAAAATTTGCTTTTCTGAAGACGAGGGAACTTTGACAGCGAGCCTATCCGCCAAGCACACAAACGTAGTGGTCCAAGTCCGCTTCTTTTCTTTCTTCTTTGCAACATTTGCAGGCAGAGACTGAGATCTTCTCGAATCTCTTGAGTTAAAAAGAAGCGCTCGCTCCCTGTAGGCACGGGTTTGAAGTCCAGAAGAAGTTCCTTGACCTTCACTGCCTTGAACTTGTGCGACAGGGTCCGAACCATGCTGGCGACATAGCTGACGAAATCTTGCTGTGTCGCCGATTGTTGCCACCCACAGACGAATCAATTCTCCATCGTTTAGTGTTACTGCAATTTTTCGTCGATCTTCTGGGCCTTGAAGCGTTCAATAGCAGCTTGCAAACCTATTTCGCCCAATATTTTCTTTATAACAGGCACGTGGCTGGTAGACATATTGGAATAAATGAATATTTTATTAATAAAAACAAGTAAACAATGCAAAACGAAAGTAGTGCTTCCACTTAGACAATTTCATTTTCTTTTTAGAACCTTATAATTTTGCAAACGTAGAACCTTATAATTTTTCAAACGATTTGCATAGCGATTTTTGCGTACAAGCAAGCGCAGGGAATATAGATGAGCTCAAAAACACGATTAGAAATTTCGAAGTTTATATATGAAAATTTGGCAAATTTAGAGGAAAGTGAAAGAAAAATGCAAAATTGGGCAAAACAGGCAAAATGTAATCGGAATTATGTTTGTTCGGAATATGTTTTGAATACACCCATTTTCCCCTCGCCAACATTACTAGGAAAATTTTCTATATGTGGAGCAATTTACGGAAGCCTGCCCTCCCCCCCCCCCGACCATAAAAAGTGTTATTGCCATGACAATGTCCGAATTAATAATAGCCAAATGTTGCATGATCGTTGCCAAATGTTCCTTTAATTAATCTGACAAGAATTAATAAACCGACAGAAAACAGTATGTGTTAAATTCAAAATAAAGCACCACACAACGAAGTAAGCACCACACAACGAACAAAGCACCACGAACAAAGCACCACACAACGAACAAAGCACCACACAGCGAACAAAGCACCACACATGCAACGAACTAAGCACCACACAACGAACAAAGCACGACACAACGAACAAAGCACCACACAACGAACTAAGCACCACACAACGAACTAAGCACCATACAACGAACAAAGCACCATACAACGAACAAAGCACCACACAACGAACTAAGCACCACACAACGAACTAAGCACCACACAACGAACAAAGCACCACACGACGAACTAAGCACCACACGACGAACTAAGCACCACACAACGAACAAAGCACCACACGATGAACTAAGCACCACACGACGAACTAAGCACCACACGACGAACTAAGCACCACACAACGAACTAAGCACCACACAACGAACTAAGCACCACACAACGAACAAAGCACCACACAACGAGCTAAGCACCACACAACGAACAAAGCACCACACAACGAACAAAGCACGACACAACGAACAAAGCACCACACAACGAACTAAGCACCACACAACGAACTAAGCACCACACAACGAACTAAGCACCATACAACGAACAAAGCACCACACAACGAACTAAGCACCACACAACGAACAAAGCACCACACGACGAACTAAGCACCACACAACGAACTAATCACCACACAACGAACAAAGCACCACACAACGATCTAAGCACCACACAACGATCTACGCTCCACACAACGAACAAAGCACCACACAACGAACTAAGCACCACACAACGAACAAAGCACCACACAACGGACAAAGCACTACACAACAAAGTCAGCACCGCATATAATGATATAAGCACCGAATATAATGGTATAAGCACAGCAAATAATTATATAAGCACCGCATATAATGATAAAAGCACCACATATAATGATATAAGCACTGCATATAATGATAGAAGCACTGCATATAATGATACATGCACCGCATCTAAACAATATTATCGACTTAAGGCAGTCATGGCATTCCATAGTACATCGTTTAAAACAGATTATTGATATTTGATCAAGTGGGTATGGTGAGCCAGACAGTTTCATTTTACGTAGGATGTTCGTAATCTCTTGATAGGTCGGGGGTCAAGCTTAAAAGGCGTTTGAGAAGAAGCTAATTTGGGGATCCTACTAGGAATATTGAATGTTTTATTTGGACTAATCGCGGAGAATGTTTTGGTAAAATAGGATGTACATTGCGCTAAATTAAATGATGGAAGTGAACTGGTATTCTTTCTGAAGTTTTCGGGGAAGTTTTCTTGGGTGTCCAAAGGTGATATTTCAGGGTTAACTGGGTCAGTGTTATCCTCATGATTGTCGTCGTTCAATGCTTCAGTCATTTGTTGTTGCAGTTCGACGTCAAGGTCGTCAATAACTAGGCTATTCAACTGCCGGGTATGACATCTATAAGGAAAGATAGATTCGGTCGCAGAGGTGGCGGTGTAGTCCTTTATATTTCCAATAGCATCCCCACCAAAACACAACACGATTTTTCTCAATCACCTTTCGAATGCCTCTGGGCTATCCTTCGACCAACTTGGCTACCTAGATGTATTTCTCGTATAGCAGTAGCTGTGGTTTATTTGCCACCAGCAACGACATCTGAAGACGTAGAACGCTTTTACGACTATTTTTACAGCTGTTATGACATATTGATCTCGGAAAGTCCTAGCACATCCTTTATTATAGCAGGAGATTTTAACCCTACCAGCAACGGATTTCGTCCCGCCAAATTAGTCAGGTATAGCAAATTGAAACAAATTATTAAGAATCCTACAAGAGGATCAAACACTCTCGACCTATTATTTACAGATACATCTACATCTTTCGAGACCCCCAAAATTCTCGCCCCAATTGCAACGTCAGATCATGCAACTATCCTATTAGATGCCAAAGTTCATGTAACTCGAAAAAACGCCATAAGAAAAGTCAAGGTTAGACCATTAAAACAATCGTCTCTACAAGGCTTCGAAGAATACCTAAAACACTATGACTGGTTACTAGTTCTTTCTGAAAATAACGTAGATAACAAGGTCGATAGTTTTTTGGAAATAACCCATAACATTATTGACTTTTATTTTCCGACAAAGATAATTAAAGCACATGATAAAGACAAACCCTTCATAACTGGAAAAATTAAAAGTTTGATTAGTAAACGAAACAAAGCCTACAAGAGCGGTAAATACATTCGTTTCAAGACTATTCGAAACCAAATTGTATCGGAGATTCGCGTGAGCAAAAGAAAATTTTATGAAGAAAAAATGCTCCCAACTTATCGACAAAATCCTAAAATATGGTGGAATAACATAAACGATATCGTTGGAAAGAAGAGAAATACCTCACCAACGCTTCTTGACCCCATCTCCGAACTACCAATGAATAATAAGCAAACGGCTGATCACATAAATTCATTCTTCTCAACTCTTACAAACGACTTCTCGGAAGTACGGGGAGATTGGCTATCACGGGGTGAACTAGATCCCCTCCCAACAATTACTGATGAAAATGTTGCCAAAAGACTAACTGATCTTACCGTCGGGAAGGCAGCCGGTCCATAAATTTGGAAATTTTACACAGTCTGCGCGATTCCGAAGATTACGCCTTGTTCGAATGTTGAAGACCTGCGTCCAATCTCTCTCACTAGTGTCCTATCCAAGGTTCAAGAGTCGTATGTGGTTGAGTGGGTACGTGAAGATATAAAAGGAAAAGTGAGCGAAGCTCAATTTGGAGGACTGCCAGGTTCTTCGGCAGTCTTAGCACTTGTCTGTCTTGCACACAACTGGTATTCGGCTATGGAGAACCATGGGAATGTGGTGAGAATAATTTTCCTGGATTTTCGAAAAGCGTTCGGCCTAATTGACCACAATAAGTTACTCCAGAACTTCGAGAAAATAGGTGTTAGACCAGCATTGCTAGCTTGGCTCGGGTCATACCTCCAAGGCAGATCGCAAGTTACAAAAGTCGGAAACACTTTCTCCGACCCTGCATATATTAAAGGTGGGGTGCCACAAGGTAGTAAAATCGGTCCCTTAGCCTTCATAGTTCATATAAACGATCTCCTATCAGTGGTTCAGTCATCTGATGATGAGAACAGTGATACTGTTTCAATGTTTATGGATGACACTACCATGTCTGAAGTTTTAAACGTTTCCGATCATATCTCTGGAGAATCGATCGGCAACTCCCAACGTAATTTGGAGAGTGTATTACAATTTACGAACGACGAAAATATGCAACTGAATTTTAAAAAATGCAAAGAAATGCACATCGACTTTCGTAAGAATAAAACGGTTATACCCCTAACTACATTAGGGGAGCAGTCTCTCACTAAAGTAAGATCGTACAAGCTACTGGGTATCTGGTTCGACGATGACCTTAAATGGAAAACGAACACTGAGTACATCACAAAAAAAGGCAGCTAAGAGACTATACTTTATGAAGATTCTAAAGAGTTATAATGCGCCAAAAGAAGCTCTGAAGACTTTCTACGTAGCAGTAGTGAGATCAGTTTTGGAATATGGCGCCCAAGTTTGGAACGGCGGGTTGACAATGGAGCAAAGCGAAGATATCGAGCGAATCCAGAAAAGAGCGTTAAGGATAATTTATTCGGAACTAAAATACCATGAAGCACTAATGGAATCGAACCTGAAAACGCTAACCGACCGACGCGATGACATGTGTGTCCAACTTATTAAGGATATGTCTAACCCGAATCATAAACTTAACCACCTCTTACCAAAGAAAACTTCCCAAATAAAGCAACGAGAAACGAGAATGAATGAGGCAACGTACTATAACTTTGCATGTAAAACAGAACGTTTTAAACATAGTCCAATTGTATATGCAATTGGCAAATATAATCTTTATATTGCTAAGTAAGCATGAGGGTTTATATATTATAGTGAGTAATAACTAACATAATATAATTCTATCTGTAAATATGACAATAGTTTTAAGACTTTTTACATTGAACTAGCTTTAGTAAAGTAGAGACCATATTATTAATACTTTTTACATTACATTTTATCATTGTAAAAGTTCTATCACTGTAAACATCACTGTATTTTAGCTCATCAAGCTATTTAGTGAATGTAATAAACCATTATTATTATTATTAACTCTACAGCTTCGTTGGTGCATTTTAAGTCCGGGAGCTCCTTTGCAGACTTTACCACAGCAATATTTGACTGCCTTGCAAGACTTTACAGGTAGACACATTTGTGTAGGCATTTCCATAGCAGGATTAACATTCAAAGTGGATTCTCGTTCGTTCCCAACTTTACTATTACACCGCCACGAGTGAAGGCCTAACGATTCAAATTCCTTGCCACAAAATCCACATATTACTAGAAATACATGCATGCAATAACCCCTCGCCTATTTTCAAAAGATATATACTCAGTGCCGTTGCGAGCACTTCGTCGCAGGGGGTATGTGTGGTTAGATAGAGGGGGGGGGGGGTTACCAAAAAGTTTCCAGATGTACAAAAATTTTTCAGGACATATAATAATTTTTCCGAAAATACAGTTGTTTTCCAAATTCACTTTCTCAGTCATGTCCTGAGAATTACCTGAATTCTCCAGAAAATCTTCTGCAAATCTACTTAAATGTACGTACTAAAAATGCACTGGAAATCTACCTGAAATTCATCATGAGCAATAATCAGGGGTGTTGCACCCTCCTCCCCCCTCCCCCAGTGAGTTCCAAGCAAACACTCTCTGATTTATTGTTCGTGTATTTCGATCACCTCCCAAAATATTGTCCATGATACTATAGAGCATTTTGCTGTTGTCATGCTCTAGCATGGTTCAAATTTATGAATTTTTATTATATAAAGTATAGTGTTTTACAGAGTTTTCGAGCACTGACAAAAATGATAATCTCAGATGTGAAATTATTCATGATAATCTCACATGTAAAAATTTATCGCCTTTTCAATTATCGCATTTCTGTAAACATTATCGCTTTTCATTTAATACTGTCCTTTATATAATAAACAGAAAAATACATGGGTGGTTGGAAATACCAGATTTATTTTTTGTGTTGAACATGACATCTCCGATCTCTGCGCTCACTTGTTCGCTGCACACTCATGTTCAACACTCGAAATAAATCTGGTATTTCGTGCACCCATGTATTATTCTCTATTTAAACTACAGCTAGACTGGTTTAAATTATTATCAATTTATCAGTGATTGTAAAAGTTGAAGATAGAAGTGTTTTGTTTTATAAAATTATCAAGTTGTCGGTGATCGCAAAACCTCCAAATCCTTAATTTCTAATGTTAGAATGTTAGGGTTTGTAAACCAAGTGAGAATATATACATTTTAAGACCTAACCAGGAACGACTGCGACAAATGCAGCACAAGGTCCTCTGGTAGCAATTGAACCTACGGCCCTGCGATTCCGGTGCGCAGCGGTCTAACCAACTGAGCTACAGAGGCCAGCTGTTGAGCCTTAACCCGTAAGTTCATGTATATTTAGGTAACCGGGTGTGCGGGTTATGATAAGGTGGACTTCAATAATTTGGATTCTTGCACTTCACTTGTTGGGATTAATATTTGAATGTTAGGGTTTGTAATCCAAGTGAGAATATATACATTTTTTAAGACCTAACAAGGAACGACTGCGAAAAATGCAGCACAAGGTCCTCTGGTAGGAATTGAACCTACGGCCCTGCGATTCCGGTGCAGCGCCCTAACCAACTGAGCTACAAGAGACCAGCTGTCCAGCTTTAACCGTAAGTTCACGTATATTTAGGTAATCGGGTGTGCGGGTTGTGATAAGGTGGACTTCAATAATTTGGATTCTTGCACTTCACTTGGTGGAATTAAAATTAGAATGTTAGGGTTTGTAATCCAAGTGAGAATATATACATTTGCATATTCTCACTTGGATTACAAACTATTCTCATTTGGATTACAAAATATATACACCAAATATATACATGTACTATACCGGTACATTTGTATATTAATTCTCACTTGGATTACAAAATATTCTCACTTGGATTACAAAATATATACATGCATATATTCTCACTTGGATTACAAACCCTAACATTCTAATATTAATTCCACAAGTGAAGTGCAAGAATCCAAATTATTAATTTCAAATGCCCCGCCGGGGCTAAGGTTCGAGTGGAAATGCCCAACACCCGGGATGTGCTTTACAGGAAAATGGCTGGGCGAGGGGGATGGGCACACTTGGATTTGGCTGATGCATTAAAAGTCCTGTGCTTATTCCAGACTGCTTGTCAAATATTTACTTGCTAGAAGTAGAAATTTACTCTGACCACTGGATGAAGAAGACATTAAATAAGTACTGGTCAATAAAAAGA